TAGATGAATCACAAGATTCAATTAAAATAAGAAGGTTTAGGATGCAAATGACATATGATAATTGTGGACAAATTGATCATAATAAATTAACATGTGAAAGTAGAGCTAGACTAAAGGATAGTTATAATTTGGATAATGCCAACATAATTGAAATGCAAAGAGAACAGTTATTAGTAAGTGACAAATTGTATTATTTAAATTTTATGTTTATTTAATTGAAAGTATAATAAATGTTGGTCATTTTAATAAAAAGAAGTTAGGAGAAATGTAGAACTAAGTTAGTGCACAATAACAACATTTCACAACGAACTTTCTTCATCAACTTTAACTTAACATCAAGACTAAATACCACTAATTGGCCATCATTCTATATCATCATAAATAGAACAAGCAACACAAGGAGATACTTTATCTAGGCAAGCATTTGTTATTAAATGGATGTCAAATGTAGGTTTTTCTTTCATATTTTGATAATAATAAAATAACCTTACATGCTACTAAATAGATAACTTTTTTAAAATATTTATAAAATATTAGTCAAACTCCTTCAAAAAGTATGACAGAAGCCATACCTCATGCATCAAGTTTCATATTCATTCAAATATATCAATTTCACATTGAAAAACTATAAATTTCTTTATATTTGAACATTTTGAGTATTTTACAAAGTACATTTTACGAGATATATATTATTTTTTTATATTTAGATACCAATACCAAATCATAAACCTATAAACTCTAGAAAAATGAGTAAGTCTTAAGGAAAGAGTAGGGATAATACTAGAGGTAGGGATACTTTAATAATTACTTTTTCATCTTTTTGAGTACCCATTTATGTTGTTGTTTCAACCTCCCAAATGCTTATCATGATTGCCACTACAACCTCCTGATTATCTACTACTACTACTTCAACAATCCAAGAAATTGATGATGTCAAAGATTAACAAGTTGCTTTAAAAGTTAGAAATTGAAGTAAGGGAAAAGGAAATGTTTATTTGTTTCAAGATATAGAAATGATGCTGCATAGCTTATTTGCTTTTGGGTTTAGGATTTTTTTTTTAGTGTTGATTTAAACATATTATTTTGTGAATTATGATTTGTCTCTTAGGGCTTGATTTTAGTCTTTTAGAATTTGTATGTCAAAGATGTATTTTTGGATTATTACATATACATAGGTTTTACATACACATCATGAAAGAATATATGAAAAAATAATTCATATTATTTTGAGTGTTGATTTTAGAATTTTACATGTTTCAATTTAGATTGTTAATTTTTGTTCACAAGAATCGGTGCTACGTAGATTTCATTATCATAAAGATAAATACACTTGCATAAAAAAAGAGATAAATACACTAATTCTTAAATCAACAAGATTGTACATAATCTTTCTAATGTTATGAGACAATATTAATAATAAATGCATTACTTTTCACATTTTGTAGCCAATATAAAATAGGTAAATAACTATTTCACGACATAAAAAACACCGTGCCTAAAATGAAAGTTATAAGTTTTACAATAGTAATATAAAATAGTAATTTTTACGAATACCTTTTGCTTATTCTCTAAATATTCAACTCTCCCTCAATCACAAAAAATGAAGTCACATAAGTGCACTGTGATATGAGAAAGGACCTTGATTGCTACACCATGACTAACAATGGACACGAGTCCTTCAAATATAAAAGGTTGCCTCCTTCATATGCTGGCAGGTTGCCACTAGTTGCTAGCAAGTCATAGCCCTTAGATTTCATCCACTAAATGTCTTCAATATCAAAATTATTAAAATCATCTCAAAACATGCTAGAAAGAATTATATTTTCAATTGTTTTATCCTAAAATGATAAACGATCAATCACATATAAAAAAAGCTCAAAAACCTAGCACTGGCAATAGATATAAATAAAAATCTACGTGCATCATTATCACATGAATAAAAAAAAAAAGAAAAAAGAATTATCATGTGCTTCAGTGTTGGAATGGATTTGAAAAAGGGATAAGAGAATTTGAAACTAACAATTATCACGATTTTTTAGAATGAAAGGCATGATGAAGAAAGATTAGACAAAGTCTGTAGGTATATTTTTTTTAATTTTGACAATGAGTAAAAAAAAGTTATTTTTTTTCAAAATAAAAAAATGTTAGATTTATTTAGACAAAATTTTTACTGTTATACGGGATCCTATGTAAGCAACACATGTCATCCCATTTAAAACAATTAGATGTCATCTATATGAATAATCTGTTTGTTTTAATAGAGTATTTAATTAAAGGATCACAATGTAACTAATTTAAAAAGGTCAAGGATTCAAATGAAGCAATTGAGAGGTTAAAGATTAAAGTGGAAACAAAATAAAAGTTTGAGCCAATAGGTGGGATTTACCCAAAACTTAATAAAAAAATGATTTGCTTAACTAATGGATCTCTATAGACATTGATTAATTATAATTATTTAAGAAAATTTGTTTCTATTTAATGCACCACTTTCATTAAATTTAAGAACAAATAATGGATTAATTACATTTTTTTAAATATCATCTTAACTAGTTGGTGTCACTAGGCACTCATTAACATTTCTCATAAATAAAATACTATTTTAAAAAAATACATTTCATACATTTATCAATTTTTATGACATGCAATATTATCATTTTTCTTGATAGATGTGATAATAGAATGAGATAGCCAAATTATAATATCTAAACTTAAAAAATTAGGCCCAAACTTCTCTCTTATTGGAACACTGATAAAGGAAGTGTTAACAAGGTTTCAACAATTTTGCAATGTTAGGATCGTCCATACTATGAGAGAAAACAACAAAGCAGCACATTATCTTGCTAAACTAGGGATAGGTTTGCATGAAAGTATTACCTAGGTAAAGGTCTATCCTATTCAAGTCCAATATATTGTTAACTTTAATGTAAACCATATTTCATGAATGAAAGTATTTCTTTCTAGCGAAAAAAATGTAATTAATGTATTTGTTTTTTAATTTAATGAAAACAATGGATTAAATGCAAAAATTTTTCTTATAATTGAAAATATAAGTACATACTACAAATGTACTTAACCAAACTAGTTCTTATAATTGCATAAATCAATTAACAAGAAAATGGTATATAAAGAAAATGAATCAAAAGTTGGGGCAAAGCAGCAAGTAAAACTTAAATATAATTAACTCGTTGTGATTTTAACTTTTTCATTTTACTATTAAGATAATGTTTTCTTAACATACTTTTACTTGAACTTCAAGATATGAGTGACAATTGTCGAGTGGAGTGAGTTTTTTTTTTAATTTAAGTTTGAATCATCAAGGTTCAAATTGTTTTTGATTTAAGTCAAGTTGAATTTAGTTTGAGTTGTTTTGGTATTGAATCATTTTCAATCTCGAGGTACTCATATTAGTTAAGGTGATGTTTTTGTGGTAAATATTTGATAAAACTGTATCTAAATTTGCTAAGAGTATTCATTAATGCAAATTTGCATTCGATGAATTAGTTCATACTTCATATTGTGGCAGAATTTCCCTCATCACCTAGTATTATGAATTTGTGATACAATATCAAAGAGTTTATGCTTCAATCGTAAAATAATTATTAAAGAGACGATGCTTCAATCTTTCAATTGTTATTTTCCACATCCCTTACTAACTCGCAACAATGGTGCAAAACCTACTTGATTTTGTTTCAAAAAGCAAAAAAATGAAAAACCTTATGGGCAAATGTCAAAAAGAAAATGAGGGGCCATGAGTCGTAACATTAATAAACTATTAAGAATTCAATTTTTTCATAAAGAAAATATGCAATAAAGGAAAGAATTATAAGTGCTGAGATTTAACTTTTAAATTTACTAAATATCTTTTTTTTTTAAATATAATCGCATAAATCAATTGGTTACATCCTGAGTACAAATTCAACTTCTTTGGTATTTACACTAGTTCAACATTGAAACAAAGTTGTTGTTGTATCATTTCTTTTCAATAAAAATAAAAGAGAATATGAATTTTTCTTTGAAGATAAGATAAAACTTTCAAGTGCCATTACATTATTAAAGTGCCATTACATTATTAAAGTAATGTAATTTTGTCCAACAATTAAACCATTTAATTACAAATAAGTAATATGAATATAATAAATGAAAAATTTGTAAGTACTTATTTATTTAGCATTTTTCATATTATTATTGTCTTATCTACCACATGAGTGCCTATCTCTATATAATTCATATTTTTCTATTATTTTTGCTCAAGTGAATTAAGTCATATGTTTAATTTTGGATACAATATTGCCAACTAAGCTTTGGCATAGTGGCGTTCAGAGTTTAAAAATGGTGCTTGCTAGGTCTTTTATTTAGGTCAAAGACATGAGTTTAAAAATATATTAAAATTTTCAAAAACAAAATTTGGACATAGTATTCAAGGTTCTGTTTAGGTGCGGACATAGATTCAAATGTAGATTAAAATTTTTTAAAAATAAATAATATTTTAAAGGAGCATTTGGTTTGCGAACTCTTAGATTCTAAGGGAAAGTATGATCCATGAAAAGATGTGATTCCAAAGGAAATGTGATTTTTTATGGCATCTAATTTTTATATTCCATTGTTTGGTTAGGGAAAATCTGAGATTACTTAATCATTTATTTTTACAACAATATCCTTAACTACATAACAAAAACAATAATTTGTCAAATAAAAATAATTGACAAATAATGCGTTTCAAATTGTAGAAATGCAATATTTGACTGGCCAATTATAAAAAAAAAAAAAGGATTAGTCATCAATTATTACGTTAATTTCATGTAGTAATTAATTATACACATGTTTAAAAAAAAATTACAGTGAATAATTATTGTGTTTAACTTCAAAGAAACGTAATAATTGATTAATTTTAAAAAGGTATAATGTATAATTATTGCATTTTTCTTCAAAAAAATGCAATATTTGATTGTTTTAAATAAACTGTAATGATTAATTACTATGTTTTTGTAGTATTTTCATAGGTGGTAAAGAACCAGAGATGCATGGTTCCCATAGGCATGTGTGGAGTCCTATGATGGATAATGCTAATTAGACTTCAAAATATTTTGCAAGGGATAGAAACGTCAATTTTAAGTTAACATTAAATATTGCATTTCTTTGAGAAAATAATAACAAATATTGCATTTCAAAGCCTTTAAACATAATATTTGAGTGAAAAATTTTTTTAAAATTTATAAGTTGCCAAATACTATGTTTTTGTTCAAAGAAATACAATAAATAATAACAAATACTGTGTTTCAAACCTAGCAAACATAAGATTCAAATGGGAAAATGGGTAGAAAATTAACAAGTTGTTAAATACTGTGCATTTGTTTAAAGAAACATAATAAATAATCATAATTATTGTGTTTCAAAACCTACAAATGCAATATCTAAGTGAAAAACTAAAAAAAAAAGTTTATGGACAAAAATAATGATAATTACTAGGTTTGGTTCCATAGAAACTTTGTATTTGACATTAAAAAAAAGACTCAAATACTACATTAAATTTTCTAGCAAATGTAGTATTTTGTGATATTTGTTTTCAATTCAATTGTTTGCAAAATAAATAAATAAATAAATTTCATTACCATATTTTGATTTTCAAAAGGGTGAAAATAGAAAGAAGTAATTTTTTATTTAAGTCAAATGTAGGACAAAAGTAACTTTCCTCTCGGAATCTTAAAAATCACAGGAAGATATGAGTTTTTAATTTCAAAACTTTGGGTACTGTTGGAAACCTAAGATTACTCCCAGGAATCAGATAGCCTCAAACCAAATGTAAGAATTTGAATACCTAACAGCAGTATTCTAGGGAAAATTTTCATATTCTTTCAAACCAAAATGCCTCCTAAAAAATTAAATAAGTTTAGACTTTTAGCAAAAAAAAAGACAAAGTTTGACAGAACAATAATTGTAAATATTTAATTTTTTTCAAACAAATAAAATTGAATTTGAATTGCATCTATTTAAGCATCTATTGATTGATTTAGTTTTGTTTGACTTATCAAGCTAGATTGCATGAACTAAAATTCAATTATGTCAAGTCAAAAGTCATTTAGGCCAATGTTTGGCAATTGGGCTTAGGTCCTAAATTTCAATGTAATAGTAAGGCCCAACTCATGCATTTACATTCGAATTTTATTAAGTAAATAACTTTATTAATTTAAAAAATCATTAAAAATAAAAAAATTTAAGAAAAGAAAAAAAAAAAGGTCAGTGGCAGTGGATGCCATACACAGCACTAGCAACCCACTAGCCACCACTTTTGCTTACAACCCCTTCCTCCTAGGTATAACACGTGACTCTCTTTCCTTATTTAGCCATAGTAGATAATGCCACCTTTTTAAGAAACTTAGCCAACGTTAAAATGGAAAAAATCATAATCATAGCCTAGGACTTTTATAGCCACCTTTACAACGAGAAATCCGACCATTGGAAAGGATACAGGTGGTGTCTTGGACACCTACAAACCCAAAAAACATGGCATTTGACATCCCATCTTGGTTCCATAAATGGAGCCTTCAAGAACACAAACGAACACAGAGAAAAGAAAGGGGGAAGCCTCTACCAAAAAATCAAAAGCCTTTCTAGCCTAAACCAAAACAAAAAACCAAACATAAAAACCAATATGCATATCCTTTAGAATGAGGAACCAATACAAAACTAATAATAATAATAAATTGAAAATAAAAAACACAAAAAAGAATATTTTTAATTTTTTTTTAAACTGAGGGGTTTCGACTTAGACCTAGATTTTTGGTTTATTTTTAAGTGAAAAGGAGGCTGGAGGTAGGAAAAGGATGACAAGGGTAGCTTTTTGGTGTTTTTTAAGGATTTTTCAGTGATTGAAAATGGCGGTAGGTGATGGTGACAATGAACGACAAAAGACAACTATTTTTTGGGTTTAAAATCATCGATAAGGGAAGCTATAAAGCTTTTTTTTTTTTTAAAGAAAGAGGTGAAATTTTTTTTAAAAAAAGTTAGATTTTATAACCTAAAAAATAGGAGAAATGGTGCGTTTTGGACATAAAGCATCCATGCATTAGCTCAACCCAATAACCAATCCGACCAAACACAACAACTCATACCTCTCTCAACCTGCAAATCGATCTAAGTGAACCAGATCAAACCATTCCAATTCATTGAAATCCCCTAAAGAATCACTCATAAATCACTAAACCTCCACTAAACTAGCCTAAATCATTGAAATCAACCAATTCAAGTAAAATTTTTGTATTTTTTACTTTTTTTAATTAGTGTTTTTAGTATTTTTGTAATTTTTTTCAAGTTACTTATTTTCTTATTTATGCATGTTTAAAATTCTAAATCCTTAAAATAAGTATCTATTCTTTTTTTTAAAAAAAAAATTGAGAACAATATAGTTTTTAATAGAAATAAAATATAAAATTTTCTTTAAAAAAATTGATAATTTTAAACTCCATCATTTAAAAAAAAAAAGAAAATTTTTATTTGATAATGAAATTATAAGGAAATCCTCATAGTAATTCTTATAAAATTTTTATGTGAGAAATTTTTTTTAAAATGCAACTGGCATAGTGAAATATTTATAAAATATTTTCAACATGGAAAATTCCTTTTTATTCTATTAAAAAATTGTGCAAAAAGTGAGAAAAAATAAACAAATAAAAAAAGAAAATTAATAAACAAATTTTTCTAAAATGGGACTAATAATTATTAAAAAAATATTAATAAGATGAAAATAAAATAAAATAAAATACATAAATAAAGGCATGAATATTATGTTTCATTATTGTGAATATCATTCAATCATAGAAAAATAAATACAAACCTCCAAGAATGGAATTCTATAGAAATTTGAATAGTGAGTTCTAAAAAATTATTAAGTGAGAAAAATTCTTTCAATTTTTTTGAAACATTTAAAAATCTTTCAATAATAAGGTTTCAATTTATTTTTTCAAATAAAAAAGAGAATTTAACTCTTTTAATAAACAATCATAATAATAATAATAAAAAGAGAAAATTTAGTAAAAAAAGAAATAATAAAAAATGAATATTAAAAAAACCAAATTTATGAAAAAAAGTAAAAAATTTTTTTAAATACCAAAATTAAGACTTTTTTGTCAAAATAAAAGGATAACCCATAATTAATTAATATTGTTTTAAAACGGATATCATGAGGATGCTAATCTTTTCCGTAACCGTATTCTTAAACTCAAATTGTTTTTGTAGATCTCAAAATTATCTTTTGATAAAATTTTAATTAATTTTAAAATTTTATTAAAAATATATGTTTAAGATATGTCTAATCGTATCTAGTCAAAAAATATTGATGGTAACTTTTAATTTTTTTAGAAATTTATCTAGCAGTACCAAAACCAACTATCATGACAATAACTATATGATCATATTCATAGGTATAGATCTGGTGCTTTGCTTGGTTAGAGAGGAAACAAAAGGGGAAACAAAATAGATAAAAGGAAACCATAATTGGATGGAAGGATGTTATTCCCTAATATTACAGTTGTAGTTCTAGAAATATTTTTGGGCATCATCGGACTGCCTTGGTGATCCACTGTGTAGGGCCGCTTCTAGCCCAAACAAATCCCCCAATGGAGGGGGCCTGGAAACTGTGTAAAAAATGAGAAAAACAAAATTAGAAAATTAATTTATTTGGAGATGCGGGGTATCGATCCCCGTACCTCTCGCATGCTAAGCGAGCGCTCTACCATCTGAGCTACATCCCCATTGTTGACAAAATATTTAATTAAATCTATATATTAAATTTTTATGACAACATCTTTCTTCGTGTCGTTGGAAATGATCGGGTGGACTACAAAAATAGAAAGTAGCTCATCAGACATGGAAAAAGGTCAAATCAACGTTAATCTTTATTACAGCATGAGAATCACTAAAGATATTCTTTGCTAATTTCCTTTCATTTGTTTCTATTTTGTAAATATTGTATTTTTATTTTATCAATTTGTAAATATTATTATTATGTTTTGAATTTGAGATTTAACTTAATTATTATATAATCATTTTTAAAAGCATATTTAATAGGTTTAAATTTTAAAGTTTTGCATCTAAAACGCTTTTTTCTATTTTCATATTATAGTTTTTTTATTAAAAAATTATCATTTTTTTTTTATGAAATGAAAGTTTTAGATTATAAAAAAAAAAAAGAAAAAAGAAAAACAACACTCCCAAATTTCATAGACATTATATATCTCAGCCATCATAGAATATCAACAATCAAGTTGAAACTTTTGATATCCCTGGGCACTTTGACGTTGCTTTTCTCTCCTTTTGGGCAATGGATTCTCTTTATCATTCTCATAGCTGGAAACTTACAAACAAGTTAACGAGGAAAAAAAAAATTGATGGCTATTAAATGAATTGATTTACTATAATGTTTCACTGTTTATGGTTTTAAAATAATTGAGGTTTTACGACACTGCTGGACAAGATTAAGTTTTGTGAAACCTGAGTTAAAACAAAGAGCCAATCGAACTAGCATTAGCGGGTAACATGATAGGAAACATATCGCATGTGAAAAGGCAGCAAAAACACAAATTGACCACCATCCGTGACTAATAATGCTGAGTTATTGCTTGAAGAACCCCCTCCACCCCCAACATTTTTGCAACATTGCAAGTGATATATTAGAAAGCACCCTCAAAAATAATTTTTGTATGCAGCTTTTCATTCCTTATTAACATTGATCAAGGGCTTCTTTTCTCATCCGATTGGTCTCCCAGCACAATGATGTACTCTTAATGTGTAGTCCAACATCATCTTTATCATGCTGGCTAACCATCAACATTAGTAACTATAGCCAAAACAAGGCTCACTACAGTGGCACACACTCATGCCTTACTCCTCAGAAAACACATTTGCTAGGACTACGAGGACTTTAGCAACTGTAAAATGGGCAATCATTCATCCACGTCTTAGCCTCTTTTTGGTATAAAGAGATAAAAACTGATGGCAGAAGACCCACGTGAACCAAGGAAGATTGGTGCTCCTAAAAATCAGATGAGGTGTATTATTGTCTGAAGCAGACGAGAT